GATAGATAGGCAGATGAACTACATCGATAGGTAGGTAAGTAGATATGTAGATAACTAGGTAGGCAGATAGGTAGGTATGTAGATAACTAGGTAGATAATAGGTAGGCAGATAGTTAGTGGGTAGATAGGTAGGTAGGTAGCTAGATAGGCAGATAGGTAGGTACGTAAATAGATAGGTAGATAGATAGGTAGGTGGGTAGGGAGGTAGGTAGGTAGAAAGATAGGCAGATAGGTAGTAGATAGGTAGGTAGATGGATAGCTAAGTAGGCGGGTAGGTAGGTAGGCAAATAGGTAGAATGATAGGTAGGTAGTCCTGGGAAAGAACGAAATTTGGTCACGTCCCTAGGGACTCCCCTTGAGAATGAGAGGCTCATTGTTGACTTTTAAGGCCACTCCCTCCACAATCCCTGGGGATTCCCCATAAACTCCTTCTTAAATCTCCGGGGAATCCATGTCGGGAATCCCCGGGGAGTTTTAGCAGGGACTCCCCAGGAATTTTATAAGGGAGAGTTGAATAGGGATATAATCGCTTTCACACTTTTTTAGACCAACACAAAAATTACTTGTGATTTTGTTTTAATGATGATATTGATACAATAAAAAACTGTACAGCAATTCTAACAGTTATGTCATTTTCTTCATCGTAAGTGTGTCATAATTAGTGACTATTGTAGAACATGCAAGTAAACATTATTCATATAAGTAATTAATAATGCAAACACTATTCAACTATAAATAAATCTATTGATACTCATATCTGATTTACTATCCAGAGATGATTCTGAGCCTACAGAAATCTTTTCTATTTGGTAATTAAAATATATAAATCACATAACACTAGTATTATATAGTTCGAATAGAATTGCAATATATAGAAAAAAAGGTATTTTTTGAAATTATTCTTTGAGTTTATTTCAAATGTTGACTTGAAAAAAAGCTGATTTTTCATTAAAAAAAAATTGTTGACATAAGCATGTAAGCATATCTTCTACTAAAAAAATCTCACGTAAATAAGACTTTGAAATGAGCCTCTATGAATGAGTTCTATGTAATCAACAAAGTTCATGTGTTTTTCTCAAAATGAATTTTTCTGTCGATGATCAAACTCCAAAAAAAGATCTTGTTTTTTTTGCATTTAAACGTAATAGAGTATATATTTCTTCGAATGAGAGTAGAAGATTTTTTAATCGTGGATAAAAGGACAAAAATTTAAAACTTTTTTTTATTCATTTAAATAGTTACGGAAATTTCTTTCCGATAAAGATGAGATGAGATCGATAGTTTGAAATATATTTTAAGAAGATTGTTAGCTTAATTTCTGCTGGATTAAAATGTGAAATACAATGGAGTTTCTTATAGTTTAAATGAGAATGTTTATGAACATATGTATAGATTTTTCATTTACTAGATATTAGTAACGTGTGTCCGTAACGAACAATGCTAATGATAATGTGTAACAATAGATGTCAAAATAGATCGAAAGACATGTATTTTCGATCCAATTGTGTCTTACACGGTCTGTGATATTTCTATGGTAGTATTTGTCATGATCTGTGGGAAGAGGTACGGATCGAAATTTCTACTCCCTACATTTCAACACTTCTATTAGATAATGTTTCACAAAAATTTCATGTGCATGAAAAATCTGTTGTAGAGACGAAAAAAGAAAAGGTTTTACGAAGATACTTTCATAGGCTCAATTTGTATATAAAGTCTTATCGAAATTATGTATACTATATCCAAGATCAGTTTTTAGAGAAAGAAGATTCTATTAAGAAAAAGAAAGTTTTTATTAAAAAACCATAGTTGTCTAATCTTAATTAAAACATATGTAATTAGTTTCAATAAAAAGTTTTAGTTTGGTTGAAAAATTTTCAAATATTCTTATATTATGTATTATCTTCTATGTTTTCTGTTCTCTAATCATGTACACATCCTTTTCTCTTTCGTTTTCACATGATTAGCAGTCATATGTTTTATGTCTTGTCTATTTTTTTTTCTTTTCGATTCTTCTGGGTTTTTTCCCAGTGATCTATAGCGTTTTATAATGTCTATTCATAATAGAGAACTTTAATCCGATGCATTGCCTGTTAAAATTAGTATACTACTAGTGATGTAAGAGAAGAAAAAGATATCAAGTAAGATTTTTCTGCTAATTTATATTATTGATGAGTGAAAGATATTATATCATTCTTTTTGACTTTTCATTGATATTTACATATCGAAAAACAACAGATAACTTTTCAGTTGATAATAACTTTATCTGAATATGATTGTTACTACTACTTTTTTTGGTTCTTAAAGTACCAAAATTCTTTTTGTCAATAATCATTTGGAGAACAAAAAAATAAAGATACTTTGATATGAAATAAACCAAAATTTCTTGATTAAATAAATAAAATATTTCTAGGCTTATCAAAATGAGATTTCTGAAATCAGAAGTTGTTTCATAATCAAAAACTAGAAGTCTATCAGAAGATTTTTTTTAATTGAATTTAAAGAAGTCTTAAGTAGGTTTTTTTTCTCGTAGAAAATTCGAATTTTTGCTTATATAAGTGCTCTTGTCTCTTACATATCAAGCTGATGATCAATAATTAATTACAAATGATATTATTTTCATTTGCGTTTTATCACAAGTGATGTTTTTTTCTTTTTAGTTATAGTCTATTAGATACACCTCAAAATTTAATATTCTTATCTTCATTCTTTTCGAATTCATTTTTATGCTGATCTATCAATCACTATTATTTTTCATCGTGAAGTTCAAGCAAAATTATTTATATCAATTAAAAGAACTTATTTCTACAATGAGAGCCGTACGATTAATATAACTATTAGACACTATGATAGTTTTCTTTTTTGTTTTTAACTTTCTTATTGATTCAAAATGTCGCTAATAATCATAGAAGAGAAAAACTACCAGCTTATTGTAAGTGCGTTTATTCGACCATTATCAAGAAATATTTTCAACTACACATATTATCATCTAAAGTGAAAGAACTGTGAAAATATTTTTAATATTTTATTGTTTAAATCCATAGAAAAATGTATTAAAAGGTTTTTTCGCATGATTTTATTGATATTTCTCTGCTATCGGCTTAAATATACCCAATATTATCCTTGTCCATCTATTTTTATCGTTTTTCCTCTATGATAAAATTCTATATAAAAATAGTCTATTGAAAGAAAAATTCTTTCTTCGTTTCACAATTATTATTTACTCAATTTTCTACTCGATACAACGAGCGATACTGTAGCTATTTCTAATAACTAATTTATGTATTTGTATTTTATTGTTATGGACAAAGAGATTTCACTAAAAAGTTACTTTATCATTTGAATATATCTACTATAATTTGTCTAATCGAGTTCATTTTCGAGAGTTGTTCGTATTCTCAAAAAAAAAAAATGTTCGAAATTTCTGCTTTGAAGTATCTCAAGGTCAATGAATCCGATGATTAGATTTCGGTATATATCTGATGAAATTCAACACTTCGAATCATTGTTCTGTTTTCTGAGTCTTTCGAGCTGATCAGATTCTAACAATATTCCTACAGGATCCTACCGAATTTTTTATCGAACTCCTGATGGAATCCGAGAATATCCGACTGTTGGATTGATTCTTATGGGTCATTTTATTCGTTTATGAAAAAAAATATCATCTAGAATGAATTTTTTAAAAAAGAATGTTGCATGTTTTCAATAATTTGTCTCTGATTAAGAAGAAAACTTTTAGGATAAGTCATACTGTGTGATATAAGTTGTAGACCGAAATATAACAATATGTAAATCTAACAGAAAAAACTCACGTATTCTGTTTAATTGTATTCAGTAGAATAAATATATTGTGTTTGTTATAATCCATGAGGAATCTGTTTGTTTTTTTCTATTGAAACTAACACTGACAATACAAAGTAGTATTGTTGAATGTTTTTCTTAGGATATGAACTATAAATATTTCTAAAATAATCAAATCATTGATTAAATTATAGCAAAGATATCTAACTGTGTGTCAACAAAGTGGCTTTTGACTTACTATATATACATATATATATATTCCAAATTTTCTCAAAATATTTCTACTTGTCAAAGTCGACAATAAATAGAAAAAATGTTCAAAGATCGTATATGTTCTTCATTTTTATTTTGTTTAGAAAGAAAACTGAATTTTATCATTCGTACAAAACAATGACCACTAAAATTTCGCCTTGTGAAAAATACAATTATCTCAAAAGAAAAAACCATAAATGCTGATTTGATTGTTAAAAAAAAACCGTGGAAAATTTCAATGCGAAATTTCTTTTAAGGTTCATCTATAAAGATAAGTAGCGCTTTGCAAGTTAGGATTGGATGTCCTGAAATTCGGAACAAAAACAAGGATAAAACAGTGACATAGAAATGATGTGTAATTTCAAAATATTCTTCTGATTTTTTCTTGTAATGACGAAATATAGAAGTACTCTGTGTTAATCTGCAAAAACAAATGAAGGAATGTAATATTTAAAAAATTTTTTGGACTTAATCATTTTATTCAGATGGAATCCATCAAAACATCATTGTTTTTACATTATTACTTTGTTGTTATAGTAAGTCATGAGATTTCAAAATTTCTATTTATCCATTAATCTTTTAATTCCAGAGATACTATTCAAGATGCTTGTGTCGATACACATACGATCATTATCATTAACAATGTGATTGGCAGTACAACTTTGAAGAATACATCGACATTGAATTAAATACTTCTTACATTAATATTAGATGAGTATATTCTAAAATTTTGACTATTTCTTGTATGAGAATTTGAATATTTCATTATTACTTTATGTAATAATTCTAATTATATGATTGTTTTTAAGTTTTTATTTTAGAAATTATATTTATTAATTTTTTTACTGATAAACTATTTTTCTTTCAGATAATTAAGACACTTAGATAATAAAGCAATTAATTGATTGTTATATTATATTTATTTTCATTTATAAACTATTTAACACAATATGGTTGGTATAGATGCAAAAAATAAAAATATTCTTGATCAGAAGTATATTTGTCGTGTCTGTTCATATATATTACGAGATCCTATACAATTGAATACATGCGGTCATCGATTGTGTCAATCATGTTTTGATAATCAATCTGGGCAAGTTTTATTATTAAATAAATTCAATATCTTTTATTTTTATCTACAGATCTAAATTCAAATGTCCACAATGTCAAAAAGAAATACAAAGAAATCAAGTATGATGATTGTTTTTCTTTAAATAAAACACATAATTGATTTCAATTTAGGCAATGATTGATAGAGGTTTTAAAAGTGATATGCTATCTCTACCAATCGATTGTACTTTTTGTAATTGGACTGGTGATTTGAATAGTTATCAGGTAATATACTTTTTGTTTATTTTATTCTTAAATTTTCTTGACCGTTATTTCTCTTACAAAAGAATCATTTAAATCAATCTCATTCGAAACCCATATGTGAATATTGTAAAGAAGAATTCAATTCAGCTAATAATCTTAATGAACATAAACTATTCCGATGCAAACAAATAACTACAGATTGTTTGTTGAAAGACTACGGTTGTAATGAACAAGTATATTTGTTCTTCAGTTAGATATTAAATATTTGAAAATATATTTTCTTTAGATTCTTCGTTGTGAAATGGCAAGTCATTATTTATCTAAACAACATCAAGATTCTGTAATCAAAGTTGTTCATCAAATGAAATCACAATTCTCAAGCACACAAATGGACACTGATATTTCTCAAACAACAACTGCACAAGTAAATAATCGTATTATGGCTCATCTTCAAGAGTTCTATGAAACACTTAATATCCTGTGTGGTGGAATAGAAACATTGAATGATGATGAACAACGATTGAATAATGAATCACTTCAATATCAAATTATATTTCGAACATTACTCGAAGATTTTTCACGAGTTAAATTAGCTGTAGAAGAAACAAACAGTTTTTTGGAAGGATTCAAACTTAATCAAGACATCATTCACCAAGATGTAATATCACTCAAGCAAAATATCGATGATATGCAATATATATCATATGATGGAACATTTATTTGGAAAATTACGGGTTTCAGAGAGAAAATGAGTAAGTTAAATGATATACTAATACTACAAGATAAAATTGAAATATTTCTTCAAAGGACTATCAGAGATAAAGAAGACACTTGAACTCTGAAGTACCGACAAGTAATAAATACATGATATAATGTTTCAATCAGCTTGACGTCATAAACCTTAAGTACCCAAAGCGCAAGAAATCTGCCAATGGGTCTGTAAGATAAATCATAAGCATTGTCAAGCCATCAAAATTTTCTTTTCTTTATATCTATGCTCTTTTTTTTGCGTATTTGATTTGATTGATTTCTAGGAGACGCACAATCTGAGCGACAAACTTCAATTTATTCTCCTCCATTTTATTCATCACCAACTGGATACAAAATGCGAGCACGTCTATATCTTTATGGTGATGGAAACGCTCGTCGTACACATATTTCACTCTTTTTCGTTCTTATGCGAGGCTTAAATGATGCAATACTCAAATTTCCATTCAACTACAAAGTAACATTTTGTTTGTATGATCAAACTTCTCAACAACGACATATCATCGATTCATTTCGACCAGATATAAAATCGAATAGCTTTCAGCGACCAAAATCACAAATGAATATTGCAAGTGGCATTCCAAAGTTTTGTCCATTAGCAATGATTGAACAAGAAGACAATCCATATATTCGAGATGATACAATGTTCATCAAAATTCTTATTGATTTCGGTGATATGCCCAAAACATTGTTACCCTATGCGTTAAGTCTTAATCCAGGAATACCAATGCATATTCAACAAATGATGATTAAGCAAGAGGCTGAAAGAAGAGCTCCATAATAGCAACCTCAATTGCAACAGCAAACATCTGTTACATAAGTTTATTACAGTTCATTATCTAAGCGAATCAAATAATCAAGAGTATTGTATTTTGAATTTTTTCTATCATTCATGATTATTAAATATAACCAAGATGTTAATCATTAATTTTTTTCTATTATATTAAAAATCAATCAAAACTTGTCAGATTTCCATAATAAATCCGGTAAGTTAATTGTCTAATGAGAGAAAACATTGTACCGAAGAGAATCACTTATATTTTCATATATGTCAAACGTGAAAGTTGAACTCCATTATTCAATTATTGAATAGTCAAAGTTCAAAGATTCATCTATTCACGAATTTGTATGAATATTCACTATGAGTGAGCGCTTTTCCCTGCCTAACTAACCTTTCATATCGGCGTCGCGATGTAGAAGTGTGAAGCACTCCCCGAAGAGTCACGATCTATGTGCGTCTAAGTGTACACAGTAATTCAAGTGTGTCATATTCGGACCATACCAGCCACAACTTTTCCAGGACTTTTTAGCCATGGTGCTACTTTACTTCCAAATGCTACCTTCTCGTGATCACTCAAACATTTTAGGTGTTTTCCGTAGCATCACAGGTGATATTTGGAATAATTTAATAGTTGAATATTTGAACTTCAACTACTCGAATAATTGAATAGTTGAATACTTGCACTTCAATTATTGGATAATAGAATAGTTGAATAATTGAAAAAAAACTTTTCAATAATTGAATTCAACTTTCATGTTTGACACTACTGAACATATCGAATGCTGCCGTCCTTTTTGAACTCGTTCTAAATAGTACGCATTTTGATAGAAAAACTTAGCTTTCAAACTAGTTTTCATGACTCAAGAGATTCTCATCAAAAACGCTGTTTTAGGCAAAATCATGATTTCATGAGAAGACAATCTAGGTCAAAAGTGAGTCTGCACAAGTCTAGTCTTTATGGTGCTAAACTGCACACTTATTGCTAAAGAGCTATACAAGAATTGATATGAGATGCCGTCGAATACCGTGCAGAACCTTATTGGACAATGACCGCAAAAATAGTCTTATCCATGCTTAACTTAGTCAAATTTGCTGAGGAGCTATTAAGAATGCTACATAGTATGAAGTAAGTTTTTATCTCAAAAAAGTCATTTAACTTCGTTAATAGGTAATGGTGGGATAATGTGTATAGTCTCTCCCCCCCTCCTCCCCCATATATACTGAATAAAAATGTTCGTCATATCATGCAATGTTTTTATTTATTCCTAAGCCAATCTTAACGAGTTGAGTATTGATAAGACCATTTACAGATCTAGTTTCTACAGACATGATTTTGTGCAAAATAATAGAAAATGGCAACTTTCTCATGCATTCAGTAGTATAGATCAATTCATTGATGATTCATCCATTGAGCTCGTTTTCGTATGAGAAATATCTTGACTTAGGATAGATTTAGAGTAAAAATTCCAAACGAAATAGATGTCACGAAAAATTGCAAAAAATCTCCTGTTTTGACGATAGTGCTCTCAAAAACATGGAATCATCTTGAGACTGAAACAATATTTTTCAAACGAAATCCTTAGAAATTCATCAAAAATGCACTTCTATAATGAATGGCTCGTATATATAACAGATAATTCATGATAGATGGTTGTAATTTACATTTCATATTTTAACCTTTAAAATGATTTTATTACAAAGATAAAATCTACTAAAGGACACAGCGTGAAGAACTGTGTGGTCTTCAACGTAAAACCTAGACTAATTATATACTTTTTGCTTTTAAAATAAGCGAAATTTCATATGAACATGTTTCGATCCTAAGAACATGATCATTGTTTGATGAACGATCAATTCACTTTTTTTATCGCATCAATGGAAGATAGTTCTATTCATAGAGCAAAAATGTTTTTTTTTTTTTATTAAAATGTGTTTATGTCGCAAGTTGACAAGAAGCAGACAACAAGGGGCGACATGAACGAAAATGCTAAGTATCCAACAAAAATTATGATGTAGTGAATCCATCTAAAAATGCTTCAATATAAATCATTATATTAAAATTTGGTTTGTTTTGGTTTCAGTATTCTAAATTGTCACATGTGGACTGCTATTAGAAAGACTATGCTATACCTTGAAATAAAAAAACTTCGATTTATTCAATGATCAAATATGACAAAAGGATGTGTCAAAACACGATCATATTTCAAACATCGATAAATGATTAAATAGAATTTCGCTTATTTTGAAAACAAAAGATACACAATTAAAATAAGGTTTACTTTACAAATTATATAGCTTTTGACAGTGCATCTTATAGTACACATTGGTTTTTTTCTACTCAAAAGCATGCAGAGATTAATAAAGGAAACGTAAAGGATAACAATTTATTATGTATTACCCGTCATTTAGTAATCAATTAAATATTCAACGAGTATACTGCAAAAAATTCGAGAATTCAACAATTAGATCTCTTAGTTTCCATTTGAATTTTAGATTTTTCTAATTCTTTTGCAGTAAGTTGATGATCGTATGTAAATAAATAGAATTTATCTCGATTTTTGATAGTTTTTACGTCTAAAATGAAAAGAAATATAATCAAGCGAGTTAGTATGATGCCAACATATTGTTTTTTTTCTTATTTCTATTCTTTTTTAAATAATTGTTTTCGTTGTCTGAATATTTATTTACCATTATAATCATGTGCTGCAAATACAAAAACAAACAAAAACTTCAATCATGTATTTAACATTATCTATTTTTTCTTTTTTATGATAAGAGAAACTTTCATAATATGCGAACCATTTTTTAGACAGAACTTATGTTACGTGAATTAGTGCGACAGGTAAATTTAATGTAGTAATCAATGTTCACACAAAAATGCATCTTTCTAGTCAAGTGATTCTTCTGTCGATATCAAAAAGAGATCATTAACAGGCATGAAGAAATGAGATCTTGCTGGTTTAGATAGAATAGTTATGCTTATCCTGTACACTCTTGTTTATTTACAGCATTTTTATGTTAATAAAATATGAAAACTAAACTATTTATTCAGATGTGAATCTGCGCTGTCATTTATTCCATTTAAATGATACACTAAAATGAACAATCTTTACATTTGATCCAAATATAAATTTATTTGATTACAAAAAAACATATATCATGCGTCTAGTGTCGTAATCAATCGTATTAATTGAGTCTGTAAGATACTTATAAGAAACATTGATATTTAATACAACGATTTTCTCCAAATTGAAATTAATTTTTTGAGTTTCTTTTATAATCATTGTTGAATTTTTAATTTTTGAAAAATGAATTTTGTCGAAACCCAAAGTGAATTTCCACAAGTTAGATGATTAAACATATTCTAATGACTAACAATTCAAGAAAAAAATAATAAATGTTTGAAAATGCTGAAACTTTTTAAAAGTCTATTATATAGAAAATGAAATTAAAAAAAATTAGCGCAATATTGTACATATGTGGTTTGAAACAAAAACAAAACGTTACAGGTTCGTAATTGAACACACCAAAGTTACAATTTAAGCTCGAAGTCCTTCTTTTCTTCTGTCATTTTACGAAGTCTTGCTTTGCCCGCCTTGGATACATTGCAGCCGCACACATAAAGTGCATTTAGTGATTTATTTTGATCAATCATATCAATGAGACAATCGACACTCGAATCGGTTACTAAGTCGTTGAAATCGAGACATAGCCTTCTGAGACTACTGTTGGGATGAACCAATGCATTGGCTAACAGCTGCACACCTCCATCACTTATTTCATTGCAAGGTAACCACAGATCAATTAGTGTTTTATTTTTCTTAAGCATTTCAGCCAGATACTCAACACCCTCATCGGTAATACCATTCCAACCGAGGCTAAGCGCTTTGAGAGTCGAATTATTCGTCTCGAGTACATGTGCAAGATAACAAACACCATTGTCAGCAACCCGATTGTCGAAAATATACAGCCCCTCTAGTGTTGTGTTACTGCGCAATTCTTCAGCTAGGATGAAAACACCTTGTGATGTAATCTTGTTATCTGATAAATGGAGCATTGTGCACTGCTTGTTGATCATCGCTTGTTGAACCACAATTGGGATGTCCTGATCCGCCAACGATTGTCGATCCAAATTTATCAACGAGCGAGGTTCACATTGGGCAATCTTTTTTTCGAGTTTCAAATTCTGATAGGTCTCAGGTACTCTCGATAATATTTTAGCAATGACTCGTGACATGCTCGTGATAGACAATTTCCTTTTTGCTGGTTCACTCGCTGGTGAAATGACGAGTGGAATACGATGACCAGGCAACGGCTCTATGAAAGGATGTAATGGCTCAACTTCTTTGAGTTGAATAATACGAAGGTCAGGACCCTGATCAAGACTGGCAACAACTTTGAGCTGAATACCAGGTAGGAGCAACACTTCATTTTCTTTTTCAATGGCTGAATGTTGATGAATGTCTCTTCCGCTATAACATTCGATAGTGAATAGAGTTCTTGCGCCTTTTTTCCCAAAAAAACTGTCCGTATTTAAGGTATTAATGTTTTCTGTACATGACGAGAATGCCCACCAGATGAATGTCTCGCCTTGGATATACAGATTGTTCATACGTTGTCGTATTCCTCGGTAGACGGTGCGATTGCCAATTGATGGAAGATGGCAGAGAGCAGTGAGTAGAAGTTTGAGATAGGGAAACCAAGAACTTAACTTCGTTCTATCTCCAATGCGTAACGTTGAATTGAGAATGAAATAGAGTGAGTCAGTGGACGGTTCCCATTCTGTAGTGTAGAGCATAATCGAAGCTGACTCATCACGTGAGAGATTATTTGCTGGATTTTCACAACGTTGTTTCGCAATCTTTGCTCTTCGTCGTATATCACACACCAGTAAGACAAGCGGTTCAATAGCTTCTTCGAGCGAGACCAACGGTACTTTTTCATATCCCTCGATGGGCATCAACATTGTGCGTGGTTCTTCAGAAATATCTGAAAAGCGTGCACTGAGGGTTTTCTGAATGATATGTTTTGAAATCATTTTGAAGATGTCAATGTTGAATTTTTGGATGCTGATTGTGTGTGTTCACCTTTAAAAAGAAAATCACGTTTAATCGACAAGTAACTAACTCAATGCACTAAAACCTCTTTAATGTGAACACTAGTAAATCTTTTTCGAATATTTTTCAATTGAGATGGTTCAATGCGAATAACTATGATAGGACGCAACAATCAAAATATTAATACTCCAATAGATAAATGTATGATGAAAGACTGCAGAATGAAGTTATTCAATGTGTTCACTGTAAATGACATATAAAGAGATTATATTCACTACTAGAGGCCCCTGTGAAAGGTTGCATTCAAGCGAGAAAAAGCGGGACTTCTAGAGTGCGTACTCCCACTATACTCCCTTGTACTCTTCTGTACCTTTCCTATACTCTTACTGTACTTCCTTATTCATCTCCCGTACTCTAACTGTAGTCCTCTGTAGTTTCCTGTACTCTCACTGTAGTCCCCTGTAATTCCACTGTACTCTCACTGTAGTCTCCTGTCCTGTAGTTCCACTGTACTCCCCTCTATTCTTACTGTACTCTGCTGTACTTCGGGAGTATCGGAGTCTCGCCTTTTCCTCATTGGCTGGACTGTAACATTATAGGAAAAAATTTAATATCATAGGGAAGATTTAATATAATATGAGAAAAATTGATTTAATGTGATAAGAAAAAGTTCCTGAATGTAAAATATAATATAGATAACTGACGTATATATATACATAATGAATGGGCAGATACGATGTATATATATATGAACTTTGTTTTTCGTTCTGTGACCAATCAGAAAAAGTTCCTGAAGAACTGAAAAACACTTGTAAAATATAATATAGATCCTTTTTTTTATAAATATATAATTATATAACTAATTAATCTTTAATTGATTGTTAAATCGCTAACTTAACCAATCTCTTTTAAATCAATTAATGATAAAAGAGTTCTTCCGATATTCAGCTTTCTCTACGATTATCTATTATTTTCACTCGTAGAAAATTAATTTTACTCAGAAAATTTAATACAAAAAGCAGTTACGAAACTGTGTTGCTGCTGCGTGTGCATGAAAATGAAAGGAAATAAAATACGACTGACATTTATATATGCATAATCGATAGACGCATCCAACGTATATATACATTGAATGGACATATACGACGTTTATGCATATTGTATGGACGTATACGACGTACATATATGTGTGTATACTTTTTTTCGTTCCGTGACCAATCATATGAAAGTTTCTGAAGATAGTTTGTCTATTATAATATAGATTTTAAATTAAAACTCGAGTTTATTTTCAAATTAACAAGCAATGTGTGTTACATCAAAGCAAGTATTAGTTCGGCTCCTCATTCTTACTTGCCTTGGTAATTCGTGTATGAAGAAAGACAGCGTACGAATCTTTATGATTCACTTTTTATCGCTGTTTCTTTCCAATTATAAAATAAAAAAGAACAAGAGAAATGTAGGTTAGTGTAATTTACTTTCTCTCTATTCTAATTATAGAATACTTGAAACGTAAAAAAAGCAATATCAAAATGTTTCTTTTTTGAGCGAAAGGAAACGACATAAAAAAATCAAATGACGCAGTACGAATTAGCGAATAGGCTTTTAGAACACAACAATTTTGGGTAGTAGTCACCACTGTCATGACTATCGAATCATCGGAGAAAAGAGAAATGACGGTACTATTTTGATGTCAACTGCACTGAGTTTCGTTTATATACAAAAAGATGACATTACATTATATATGTCGGAGTAGAAATTAAAATTCTACTAGTAGAGATTCAAATTTCGATTTCTACTAGGAGAAATCGAAATAACAGACGATTTTAAGTTGCACTAGTAGAAGTTAAAATTTTAATTTCTACTATCGGAGAATTTTAAATTCTACTAAACTTATACTATAGAAGTATGCGAATTTCTTCTAGAATAGAGAATAAAATTAACACTTATTTTAATTATGCAATATGTCAAACGAAAAGAAAAAAAAGATTTTGGATATTTAATTTGAACTCCTCGAGTCAGTATCAAAAGAAAAAACACTTCAATATGATATAAAATAGAACTATTTTATTCGAAATTTGATAAACATATAGAATCTTTAGGGAAAGATTTCTTTCAAAGTGTTTATCACACAAGTTGGTTACAATGGCATCATATTGGTAATAAAAGATGGTTAGAGTGAAGCTCAGTTTAGATTCTAAATCAATAAACACGTTAAATTAGTTACTATTGGCGAATTACAAGTTGATTTTGGCATTAAATCAAATAATCTAGTGATTACATGACAGGTTAATTTTATTTTCTATTCTTGGAGAAATTCGCATACTTCTATAGTATAAGTTTCTAGTAGAATTTAAAATTCTCCGATAGTAGAAATTAAAATTTTAACTTCTACTAGTGCAACTTAAAATCGCCTGTTATTTTGATTTCTTCTGGTAGAAATTGAAATTTTAATCTCTACTAGTAGAATTTTAATTTCTACTCCGACATATACATACATGAAAAGTCGTTTTCTTCGACCTTCCAATAGCAGATGCGGTTCTCACTACCGACATCTATAGGTAAAAGTTGGATAATGAAAAAATTAAAAGAATTCTAATTTATTCCAAACCAGAATAAAAAACAGCTTAACGCTAATGTTGTTCGGAGCGACTGCCTTTTTTTTCCAAATAGACATCATTAAGAAGGTTGTTTCTGTAGTAACAATGGCGACTAGATTGGAAGAATGGTTTAATTCCAATCTTTTGCATTAAATACCAGGTAGTTCCTATACATTCTTCTCGAAAAAAAAAAGAAATAAATTGTATTCAAATTGTTCATGTGTCATCGAATATTTGATTCTTATCATTACACTTTTTTGATTAAGATAAGAACTTTTTAAAATGTTTCTTTATCCATCACTAAGTAGTATTTCATTCATATTCATCAAATGAATTCGTTTTATGATAAATCGAATTAAAAGTAACAAAAATGAAAATAATAAAAAAGATTGTGAGAAAAAAATAATAAGAAAAAATGTAAAACAAAGTGCAAAAATATATAATTTTAAATAGTACAACAATGATAAATGAATTAATCATTAGTTGCAAGAAATTAGAATCCGGACAATGTTATTATTCTTATTCGACTTAACACATTTTGTTACGATATGGTGTCATGAACTACAAGTTTCGTATATGTTCGTTTGATACCCTGTGAATTAGTTTCTAATTCCTGTGTATTCTAAATCGAAAGAATGAAAGAAAAATGAAGAAGTTTAAGGCTATCGTTCTTAATATGTATAATTCAAAAAAGAGGCAAAGAATTATAGCATATGAAATCAAGAGAAGATCATCTTACGTAAAAAGAATGGTTATCTTCGTCAAAAATAGGATAACTTCCACTTTCACTGAATTTCACCTTCACCGAATTCCTTTTTCGCCGATTTCAATATCGCTGATTAATTTTTTTGTCCGAAAATTACCAAGCCAAATATGAATCATTCTATATTTAAGAGTTTTTTCCAGTTTAATAGGTTTATTAATACACTCCTTTATTACCAACTGAGTTGGTAACCATCTGAGTTGGTAACCATCTGAGTTGGTAACCATCTGAGTTGGTAACCAGGGCGTTGGGTGTGAGTATGCGTGTGGGTGTGGATGAAGACAAGACTACCACCCATATCCCACATCCTGGTTACCAACTCAGATGGTTACCAAGTCAGTTGGTAATTAATGAGTGTATTAATAAACCTATTAAACTGGAAAAAAACTCTTAAATATAGAATGATTCATATTTGACTTGGTAATTTTCGGACAAAAAAATTAATCGGCGAAAATAGAATAATTCAAAAATAGATGTGTCGATAAGATTATACTACATTAGTTGATCAGTACTTGGAAATGAAAAAACTCAGTTGATGATGACGTCATCGATTGATCAGTTTGCTTTTCTACTATTAATCGTTGTTTTTGTCGATTTTCCCATTCTTGTACCTGATAGATAAAATCGTTTTTGAATGAACATTAAGTAGCATCAATGATAGCTTTATTCAACTCAGATATTTTTATTCATGATTTAATAGATACGAATTAAAAATATATATCATGCCTGAAGGCGACAGATCACACTGTATACATAATTACATACGCACACAAGGTTCATAATAGAGTGACCATACTATCGGGCGACTCAGTCTCCGTAGTCGTCGTTGCATCCTGATTTATGGCATATCCAGCTGGTAGCGACCTTGGATTCATATCAGTTCGTTTTGGACCGACATACCGATGACGAGCAGAAACAATCCAATATATTAATGCTATTAATGCAACCCCACCAATAATTACTATAGTATAGTTCATATTATCTTTTGTTACCGGATACTTAGTAGGAAAACACATAAGAATTGATGTAATAAAAAGCCATATAGATGAGACAATTCCAATGAGAATACTGAATCGTCCTAAATTAAATTCACTCAAAGGAAATGTATTTCGAGCAGTTGTACAGCGAAAAAAAATAGGCATAAAATATGATACTTGAAAGCCGAGTGTAGTTGTGGCAATGAGAGCAAGAAAAGCTGTCGTCGATACCAATTGAAGTAGTTGAAAGAGAGAATCAATGATAAACACGAACAGAACATTAGCTAGGGGTGTTTTAGTCGGTTCGAATATCCAACGAAGATAATTCGAAAATGGAAATACATCATCACGAGCCATTGCAAAGCTATAAACTCAAAGAGGATGAGATCTTTTCGGATTGAGAATAAATGAAAGATTCTTACCCGATTCGACTTGTCACTGTAATTGATGACATACCGGCAAAATAAAGATTAATAATAAGTAATATAGTAAGTGCAAGTGCTCCTTGATGTGGTAAAGTTGATTGAAATGTAGCTACAATGAGACTGATCGTTTGATTATCGCCACTATGCGCATCCATAAATGTGGAAACATTCGGAATAACAAAGAGAAGAGCGAGCAAATAGATAATACCAATAATTGCACTGCATACACATGTGGCAACAATGCCCTTGGGTACTGTAAACCGAAGAAGATTACAATATATGGTTGAAAAGAAACAAAAAAGAAACACTTTGAGTGTTTTTTTCCATGTACTACGGATCTGTTAGATACTTGATTTTCTCTTGATAAAAAAGGGTAAGTCTGTACTTCAAAATTTATTTTGATCGCATTTTCGTAAATTGATAATTCGGAAGATAGTGTTGAGAAACAACAGTCTTCTAAAAGACGTTCTTGAAATTCGCATATGTTGCTAATATATAGAAAAATTTTTAAGCGATTTTTCATGATATTCTTGATGAATTATACACTAGAGTTTTTTTTATCAACAAACGCAAAGTTTCTAATGCCACATCCGCCAAACTCTGATCTATGTCTTGTGGTTTTATATCTTGAATAAAAGTGTTTCGTTTTAGTTGGTTTGCTATTAACATGTAAAGTTAGCATTGGAAAAATATTTATTGGGTACTCTAAGTATACTTTCTCGGAAAACATAAAAGATTATAATTCATTATTGAAGTCAATCATGATACTTCAGAGTAATATTTATAAACGTAGTTCTTTTGGACGAAAAGCTTTGAACTCTCCTCCATTATGAGAAAAATTAGCTTCATAGAGTGAAACAGGGCAGAGATATATAAAATTCTTTACTGCACTGTAACTTATGACTACCTCTGTTTGTCGTGCAATTCTAATTATTATTTTAAAAATATTTTACTATTGTATAACATGTCACAATGAACATTTCTCTACAACGTGAAATACTGGAATAAAATGTAAAGTGAAATAATCAGATTGTGAGAATTTTTCCAAGAATCACTTTCAATATAAAAATTAACATTCTAACTTTGTAGCCTTTCAGAAACATTGTCATTATTTCCTGATTAGTTTATTGTGCAGTCAGCTTTCATATAATAGATATCATTTTATAGAGAAATATTTGCTCTACAAATATAACATGTTTGAAAATACTTCAACATTGACTAATAAAAAATTCTGTTCTATGTGTTACCTGCACGGCGAGCACCTCGAGTCTCTTCAGCCAAATGAGCGCCGGCTACAAAACAAAACATAATATTTAAATATTCTTTCTCTTATCGTCTATCTATATGATATACCTTCATAGCCAGAGAATGAAAAAATCGTTGAAAGTATTCCAATGCAGCAAACGTAAGCAAATGGAAATCCAGTACCATTGTAGACTGATGTAAAAACATTCTCAGCAGTGGCTCGTTCTGGTGCCATGACAAGGAGAACAGTCATGATGCTAATTGCAGAACTGATTTGGAAAGCTGCAGCTACATTATTGATCCATCCTTGTTGATCGATTCGTAGTGCATTTTGAACGGCCCATATAAATGTAATTACTATACCAATGCTTACTTGTTCTCCGATACTCAATGATGACTTTCCATCGAGTATGCGTGCATCATTCACAATAGTTGCAAAACCAGATGATAATGCGGCATCAGCTTTGTTTTTACATAGAAAATAAAATATGTTACACAAAACAACAAACGGTTTTCTATTACTACCTGCAGCATTGCCAAGGAAATTGAACCACCCACAGATGAAAGAAGCCAATGGAGCATAACGAGGGGATACAAGCTTACCGGACCTGTACTTCAAATAATCAATCAAATAGAAAAAACATAATACATATAGATCCATACCAATGATAGACTGAGCCCGCAGTTGGATAGACTGAACATATCTCAGCCAAAGAAAGACTAATGAGAATTGTAAAGAAAGAGCCAATTATCCAAGACCATATAGCCACGCCTGAACCGCCTGTATTTAATGTGTAAGTAAAACCGATCGAAATCGATGCGAACACATTGACGGCAGTGAAACAAAAGCTAAATGACATATTTGAAGAAAACCCACGATAGAGCTCTTGCGTATAGCCCATTTGACAAAGAATGCGTTCATCTAAATGTTCTTCTTCTTCTTCTTGTTTGTTTATTCGAAGATTTATGTTCTTCATGGGCAAAATAGTAAATATACCGGAAGACATATCTAAAAAATTTGATCACGCAAATAGATTTTTCAGTTAGGGAATAGAAATTTGTTTTCTTTGCTTTGAGAAAATCACAATGTACTGTTGTTCAGTATTTTCAAATGTAATTGATGATCTGAAAAATTTCCGAATCAAATTGACGTACCCAACATATTCAAAAAAAATGAAACAAACAGCACTCAATCTATAAAAATATCGTGTCTGTTAGCTCTTGAAACTTTTGAAAAAGTGATTTACAAGGTTAGCAAAAAAACTTGTTTTATTCGTCCTGCAAATTAATCTTTTGAGCCTTTCTAAAAATTGCTTCAATATTATCGAACAAAAAATAGGTACAATATTTCTGAGCTCATATTTACAAAGGAAGCACAAAATTCTGTTTCTAATCCAATAATTCTGCACTCATTCGAAACACTGTCAAATAAGTTAAAAGTCAATACATATTGTGTTCTGAAATCTTCGATCTGTTAGTTACGTCGTAGACACTGAGTGACGACTATATGTGTTCTAACCAAGGCCATTGAAAATAAAACTCTCGACATTTCTGAAAAATCTGAAATCTGTAGTAAGTTGCTGGAAACGAAGGGAATAATGGATCCCCAAATCGACCATATTTGAAAATTCCTTCAGAAATGAGTTTCACCTTAGAATTATTAGTTCTCCGTTTATATTATATCACTCTCGATTCATATAGATCATTTGCATGGACATTTGATAATGTATTCGACACGATAGTCAATCAGTCTGACCACATAATATTTCTGTTCCAAATAACATAATGCAGTGCCAATGTTCATCACCTGACTCTGTTGAGAAAACGCCATTCTTTTGCAACGGGTGCTGTAAGCATCCCATGAAAAGTGTGTGAACTGCACAGATCTATCGACATGATCTCCAACATTTATCATAGAACTGTCATCATTTTTCTATTGTAAACACAACTCAATGCTGTTCTCAAAACATTTCGAAAGTATGAATCAAAAGAGATAGGTACATACAAAATAAGAGCCATGTTTGCTAATGCTACTCAAATGGCTTTTGTGGCGAATTAGCAGCCCTATAAAGATGAGGGTAAGTTTCAGTGTCGATCTAGGAGAGAATTTAACCTACTAGTCCAGCCACAGCGACAATCCCACTAATGTCTCATCCACACCCTACTTGTTTTTGAAGCTGATATAATCGAGTTCTTCTTAACCACCGGAGCAAAAAAAACTATTTATCTTCGAAACATCATCTACAGAACAATAAAGCTCTACGAATATCATCCATAATTAGGTGAAGCCGTTGACTTACCACAAGGATAGCGACATAATCTGATACGAAACGCTTGATTCGATACGATTATATGATAAAAGAACATTTGAAGATTTATCCAAAACATCGATTTTCTCCGATGAGGGCTTTTCATATTTAGACATGTTATGTACGGGTTATTTTTCAAGTACAATGTCCATCTTTTTCCAGCGCAATACTAATAAACTCTCAGAAAACATCGAAACTTATTACATAAAAAAAAAGATGATTGTATAAAAATCGATGTGAATAGTTTTCATGTTCTATATCTAAATCATCAATACCTTAGAATTCGAATAACTTTTGTCGAAAACAAAAGCGAAGAATCAACATGTGAATGTAAGAGTGAGGATGAGAGAATTGTCCCTTCCATACAATATCATTTTCCATATTTGTATCTTTCGACATGTCTATAATATATGTTTCCAATATTTTTACATTCGACCAAAGTAGGGGATGAATCATCAATTTGGCGATGAGAGTGACAATTCGACCTCAACATAGCATATTTTATTAACTTACAATACAAACGCTTCCACTTCTGCATGAATAACGTTTTTTTTGCTTCAACATTGATCGACTAAATCATGAATACATCATTCAAAGGAAGTGACTATTTTTGTTCTAATTGATGATTGCTTACAGGTAGAAAAAGAACAGTTGTTCTTTCGCAAGGCGTATAGAATACGCAAAGACGGCATGTCACACCATCCCTCGTACTATTTTTGCGCATAATGGTTCTCTATATCGTTAATTTGTACTTTTTCTTCGCGTTGTCGTCTCCTGGTGATGAGAAAACGTGCATTAATATTGCAAAATAGTCGGATAACGATTGTATCTATATTTTGACATAAATTCATTTTCGTCTTTGATTTTCTTTACTTTTCATTGAATTTAATTTTAAATTCATAATTTATTAAAAATTAATGACGTTTCGTATTTCGATAAGATATTTTATCAAACATAAAATCTAGGACAAATGACATATAAATAAATACAGCAAGGATGTGGGTGGTTCGTCATCGACATCCATATTTATTGTACATACCAATGTCATTTAGTGTATTGATATTAATCAGTTCATTTATATTTCTTGATTGGAGATTTCCTATATTTTAAGTTGACGTTATCAACTTGATGAAAAATTAGTATAATAACTTTAAAAGATGAACACATCATTTCTATTGCATTGTATGTAGACAAAGATCAATCATTGAACGATAATGAAAATAGTTAAAATGAAATGGTATATACGAATTTTGAAACGACAAGATATTTGGCATTATTTAACATGTTCATTGCATCTATTGATTGTTTTATTTTTTAAGCATTCTATTATTATTAGGAATTTTTTTTACTGTTACATAGTATCCATGGTTACATTTCTTATTGATTAGAACCAACTTTTTATAATATTATAAAAATTCATGTGAGAAAAAAAAAACTCCATGAGCAAAGAAAAATTCTTTCATTCTATAGTTATTTTGGCTGATGTCCTTGTTGTTTCTGCTATTCTAATTTGTTCATTGAATGATTTTCTACTTGAATTTAAAGCTGATAAAAGTAACATTCTAATTTCTTTTCATATTGATTTTAAAATTTTTATTTTTTTATTATTTAGATAAGAAAAGAAATTATTGAATATATAATTAATGCAAACGATATCATAGTTTATAAATATTGTGGTATGTATTGTATGTATGTTTGCACACGAATCTGATTATCTCAGCACTGATAATCAATTGTTTGTACAAGCTACAATTGTGAGTGAAAGTCAAGTAGTGAATAGCGATAATATTAGTGAGCTGAGAAAAGCGAAAAACAATTGAATCTCATAGATAAGTGAAAAATTTAATTTAATTTTAACCATAGTTAATTATATTATTACGTGTAATTTTGATGTCATTCCATCTAATTCAACTATGGTGAAAATATGTAAGAGTATTAAGAAAAAACTTAATGGCAACTGTTGAAAAATGAATTTTTAACAAATTTTGACAACACAATCTATTGCTAGAAGAAAAAAAATTCACATGGATATATCCTTCAGACACCTCCTAATCGTATGATGTGCAAGTGTTACCTGAGAATATATTTCACTGTAATGGTTTTTTAAATATCAACATGATCCCATTAATATTGATAGAGGAATATTTTATTCGACATATCCATATTGGTAAAATAAGATTAACTTATTTTCATGTTATTTCTGTTTTCTTTTTTGTTTAGAAAAAAAGATTATACATTTTATCGAGAATTTAACAAACAAACTTAAATTCAGTTAAACACGTTTATATTCATCATGAATGAGCGCTAAATAATTGTGTATATTTTTTCCAAATGTTACTGAATTGAGTCATCTAATGATCAAATTATACGAGTTCTTTATCGTATTATTCTTTTAGAACAATTGACTACATTAGAGACATATGGATTTGTGAGAAACTGAATTCTTAGTAAAAAATAGTTATTGATAGAAGAGTTGGTCTTAAACAAAGATCTTTACAAAAGGTATATGATGTTATTTTCTCATTTATTTTGTATTTTTATCAAAAATATCATAAGTTTTAAGAGGTAATGACAATCAGAGTTTTTTTTTTTAGGCAATTCTTCTATAATTTGTCAACTCATATTTTCATCAATCGTTATTGACTTGAGTTCTGGTTTCTGCTGTTAATACATAGTTATACATAAATAGAACATAGACTTCTCTATATATGTATAGATTTTTCATGGAATTTCTTCCTTATCTCTGATATAAAGCTCAAAAATTTCTCAATAAGTTCTACAACAACGTTAAGTGTTTTGAAGAAAATCTAGCCAAGTCGACATGACATGTTGTCATTTATTTTATTGTCAACAATTTAAAATCATACTAAAACAGTTTCATGTTTAATAATATAATAATAAATCCATGTTCAGAACATATTGTCCACAATTGCAAAATTCATTACTGATTTGTGACGTTCATCATATCAGTCAACTTGATGAAAACTTACCACTATAGAACATATTTTAGACTCATTGCTAAAATCATTTCATACAACACTTTTCTAAGTGCATTTTTTATATTTTAAACTTTCTTCTATGTCTTTATCTATATATAATACGCTACTATACATACATAACATTGAGTAAAGACAAAAATATATAAAAACAAAATTGTCCTTCATATGGATAGTTGTCTTGAATTATGTCAAAAAATCTTATTCAATCAATTGTCTTTCATATATCGATATTATATTCAATGTATATAAATAAGAAACGGATGGAATGTTATTTCACGTGAATATCTTTTCTTGGCTGTGATTATATAGTTTGAAAACAATTATTTTTGGATCAGTATTGCCATCATTTATTATTGTAAACATGAACCGAATAAAATAACGACACCATTCACGATTATTATCAAAATAAAAAACGAAAATTACAAAATTCAAGTTAGATTTTATGTTTAAATTTAATAAATCTTATTTTCTTTTTTTTCTTTAGCAATAATTAATAATCAATTCAATCAAGTCTGTTATCTAAAAAAAAAAATATTTTATTATCTAATTCTTATTTTTTGTATTTTATTTAGATTTATTTTTAAAGATTTAGCCAATGAGATTATCTATGAAATATTCGACTATCTTGATATTTATCATGTTTATGAAAGTTTTTTCAATCTTAATAAATGATTTAAAAATTTACTTATTAATTCAAATTAATATTTCAACGATTAAATTCATTTGCTATTGATATTGTTTTATCACCATCACGTATCATTTTAAAATTTCTTCACCTTGAAAAATTAGTTCTTGATAATATTCATACAAAATATTTTAAGAATATTCTGAATCATTTAAATCACTAATCAAAATTATATTCATTAACTATTAATCATATTAATTATATTGAAAATTCTACTCTTCTTTTTATCCACAAATATTTTGTTTACCAAAATTAACATATTGCAAACTTAATGTTCAAACAAGAAATGATCTAGAATTATCATGTAAATCAATTGATGAATCTAGTTCAATTGAACATGTTGTAATTAAAAAATTTTTTCATTTGAATCCTTTCATAATTTATTATCATATCTTCCTCAACTTTGTTATTTATCCATTGATAGTCTTGTTGATTGTCATAAAAAAAAGAGATAGAATTATCTTCTATTACATTGACATCTTTTAAATATGTTTTATTTCGACTTTCTTTTACTAAGTTTAATCAATTTGAACAAATAATCAAAAATTTCTTTTCTTCTATTGAAGTTTTACGTATTACAACAAGCTATGATACAGCATTTTTAGATGCAAAACGATGGGAAAAATAAATTTTGTCTTCTATGCCAAAATGACGTATTTTTGATATTCATCATGATGATATTGTACGAAATAGTCAATTAACATATCATGATTTGATTAATCAATTTAATTCTTCATTTTGGATTGAAAAACAATGTTTTTTTCTTTTATACATCAACATAATTCTCAAGATAGAATAGATGGTGGAATATTTTATTCAAAAGATTCATATCAGTAATAAATACTAAATGAAATTATTTCTAAATTATTTTTTTTTTATTGTTTAGAAGAAACGATTATAAATATTATTGGCAAATAAATCAACAAATTTGTTCAAATACTCAAGAAAACAATTTAGATACAGTTAAACATGTTCGTATTGGTGGTAAACAAACAATAAATAATTATGTTCATTATTTTCCAAATACTACTAAATTGACAATTGAAAACTATTTTAAAATCTCTGGTGATTCAATAGCTATAATTCTTAATCGAATAATTCCTTTAGAACAATTAATTGAACTATTACGTTTTACATCTAATTTACATACAATAAAATATTATGCAGCACTTTTCAATAAAACTAATTTAAAATTAATTAAAAAAATGATATTTTTCAATATGTATCAATTAGAAATAAAATTAAAAAATTGGAAATTTCTCATGAATGGTGTACATTAGAACATTTTCAAATAATTATGATCTTATTTCCTCAATTAGAATATCTTAAAATTGAAATGAATAAAAAAGAAATTAAACAAATTATACGATTTTTTTTTCAAAAACTAATACTAAAGCATATCATTTGTTTTTCCTATGTATTTCACAAATACCAAGAAGATATTTACGAGAATTAAATATGTTAATTAAATCAGAAAACTTGTACTCAATGACTATGCTATTAAATTTCTTAATCATGATTTATATTTGTGATGGTAAAAATTTCGTTGTTAAGAATGTATTTTATTGTAATATATATTTTAGCAATTACTTTTAAATAAACAAGAGAATTAAGAATTAATAGAACTATCACAATATATGTTAAACAAGTATTTGTCTTTATTATACTACATAGTTCATATAGTAATACAACAGTTGATTATCAAAAGAATGTCTCATATAAAAAATATTTTTAAAAAACAAAGCTTCTTGCTGTTTTGAATATTGTTTCCGGATATTTACACAGAATTTTGCCTTTTTTTTCTCTAGAAATACGAAACATATTATGTTATTATATATTCAAATGTCATACTTGACGTCAGTCAGACGAACATTATATAAATGGATAAAAGAATGAAGATTAATCGGAGCATAAACAACCGTCCAGAAGTGCTGATTTGATTGGCCACCCTCAAGTGATGATGTACCAAGTCAACTTCTTATGATATTGACATATTGGGTTGTCACTCGATGAGATCAAATCAAATCATGACTTGCGAGTCATCATTTAGATTAATTCGAAAATCTCAGAAGCTTACGTAGATGAAATATTCTTGAAAAAAACCAGATGAGCGTCCACCAAAAATGCTGTTAGCGCAATTCCTGTAGGATTAATATGTGAAAGACGAGAGTGTGGGTGGATGTGAGTCTAGCTATGAGTAACTCCCAACTAACATCTACAGCCTTGCTTCAATTTTGTTAATGTTTCTCCGTCAAACCTGGCACCTTTCATTGAAGATTTTTCTTATATTATGACGTTTTTTTTTGTCGATCCTTGGAAGAAAAATCTTCAAACTTTGTCTCACTACTTATCATTCATTTGTCACACACTATCTATCAGAATAGTTTCATGACAACAAATTACACTTATTTTATATCTTTTCATTTATTTTGTTTTCGTTACAGATAGATTAATATAATTCTACTTCAGTTTAGATGATACATGTTGGATACTTTGCTTGATTTGAACAACGTTGAGATGCGTAGAAGAAAATGCCTCACCATAGATAGTGCCTGCTTCTTCATAATAGGATAATGCTTTTTTCCAATCGCCTTTTTCTTCATAAACGATACATATATTTTCAAGCGTCATTCCCACATCTGTATGGTTAGAAGGAAGAGACACTTTGTAGATTTTGAGTGCAAGATCATATTGTTTCAAAGCCTCATCAGAATTACCTAGATGCCTATACACAATACTAATGTTATTATATGATGCACCTAAGTCAGGGTGTGGGTGTGCGTATGGGTGTGAGGGGGGGATGGGTGTGGGGGGGGGGGGGGGTGGGGGTGTGGGTGTGAGTGGGTGTGGGGTGTGGGGTGTGGGGATTGTTCTTTTCTTAACCCACACCCAACACCCATCCACAGCCCACACCCACACGCACACCCACCCCACACCCACACCCACACCCACCGACACCCACACCCTACACCCACACATCCACCCTTTCAAATGATTTCAACTTGATTTGAGCTATTGAAATCAGTTTGTTCCCACTTGTCGATATCAGTAAAAAGTGTTTGATTTGTGAAAAAAGCACTTTTATAACCATATTTTTTCTAGAAAAAAGATGCAAGAGCTCAAAAAAAAGTCGAGATAGGTCGGTAAAAACAAGTTGTGGCTACCGTCTGATAAGGAATCCTCTACTGGATCGGTCTTGACCGGTCGTTTTTCTTTATCGGCTACAACTCTGTGGAAAGCAATTTAAAAAAGGTCCGATGTTTTTTTCATTCAATTTGAGCGTGTTGATGAAGAAAAAACACTCAGCAACATTTACTCATCCTCAAGAAGAAGTTATCTTCAGAATGACTCGTTTATTTTTCATCGTTTCCGTGATGCTCAAGTTGATAATAGGTGATTGATCTCTTGAATATTCTAAAGAAAGATTTGAATAAATAAAGTCGAATGTCGAATCATTTCAGAAACACAATATGTCAAAAAAGCGATAAATCTTTCGATAAAACGATCTTTGTTCAATCAACGACTCATGGATTTAGGACATCATGAGTGAGGGTGGATGTAGGTATGGCTTCTGGATGTGGCAATGACTGTGGTTGAGAAGAAGATTCATACCCATACCGACACTTACACCCCGTATCCGCATACCGACGCCAGGGTTTTGGTCAGAGGGGCTGAGTGCGCATCAGCTCTCCCGTTGGCCCACATTTAGCAACAACTTTAAAAGTTTTCCGAGGATAGCTCAGCTTCTTCAGTCCCCCTGCGACGCCTCCACTACATCCATGGCCATATCCACACGCTTCACAAATTCCAGTTATTATTCGTATCCTTCAGACGTTAAAGTGATTTCTGGCGATTTTCAGTGATTTATTGGATAGAAATCAGTTTGTCTCCCCTGCATCTGCTTGTCTTTCGCTACTTTTAAAAGAATATTTTTTGTTATGGTTATCAAAAATGTTATCTATAGTCAACACAACTTACATATGCTGCATCGCAAAAATCTGTAAATTAATAGAAACGTTAATAGAAATATTGCTCACAGTTTCTCATCATGGATCAGTCTTTGACTAATATTTTCGTATGAAAAAAATCGTTTATTAAGATAGCTTGATATCTCTTCATGATCGTTATTCTGGTTTAATATTTCATTCCATGCAATTGTTTAAATAGATTTTGTGATTCATTGAAATACTATGTAAATAAGTCATAACAACCTCAAAGAACTGATATATATCGTTTAAAAATAGAGTACTTCACGTTCGAATTCTATTTAATTTCTAGACTTCTCATTTGATCTTTCACAACCTGATTAATTAGAAATCTCTTAATCGATACTTTTGTTTATTAATAATCAAGTTTATTTCATTTATCCGACATAGAATTAAAAGAAAACATTTATTTTCTACGATTTTGCCATCTTTGATAGACTCGTGATGACTGTTCTTCATTGACATGTTGATCTTCCATTAGATCATAAGTGGTCTCTGCTGTTGGCATGGTACTAGTAAAAGCAGCTGGAGGAGTTGACGGTTTTGATGAAAATACACTTTTTATTTCGCTCATATCGACACATTTTGAATAGCAATCTGTCGCTAAAGATGATGCAACACCAAAAGAATTATGCATTTGTTTTGCACGCATATTTTTCGAAGCGAAAATATTATTGATTCGTTTGGCTTTTTCTTTTTCACTAACTCCTTCAGCTTCAGCTTTTTGCATTTCACGATCAATATCTGCTTGAGCTTCTTGCATTAAACGTTCTAATGATATTTCTTCACGTACTGCACCAATAATAACTTTTGCTAAAAGTTTTGAAGCAACCATTGGGACATATTGACCACCAGTAATATAAGCCAATGACATGAAAAAATCACGATAACGAACTAAAGAAAAGTAATAACATATTTTGAAATTTATTATAAAAATCAAGATAACTTACCAATAGGCGGTTCAACACCAACAACATAGAGTGTAATGCGTTTTGCAGCCATTTCTCGAACAACTTTGATTGGATCAAGACCAGCTGGACAACCATTTGGAAAATCATCACCATTTGGATCAAGTCCATGCGGTCGTGCATCCGAAATAAGAACACAAATTTTAGTAGATTCAGCACGCCATGATAACTTAAGAGCATCATGAAGTCCATCGGCAACTGCTTCAGGCGCGTCACCACCACCTTGTGCTTGACAATGTTCTAACCAACGTTTCATTTTATTGCTTTTGGCTGTAAAATCATGTACACGTGTAACAAAGGTAGTATCCTAATAAAATAAAAATGAATTATATCTTAAAACGTTTTTTTTCTTTTTAGTTTACAGTTACTTGTGGTGGATGATCCCGATATTCGATAAGTGCTAAACGAATATCACTTTTTTCACTGACAACTATTTCTTCCACAATGGAACGAATATTACTCCTTGCACTATCAATATATGATCCCATCGAAGCCGTACAATCCATGATAAATACGAGATCTATAAATAATCGTAAAAAAATTAAATTAATTATTAAAAAACACAAACTTACCTAGAATAGCTGAATCATGTTTAGCTAATTCAGGTCGGTCAACTTTTTCGACGTCAAGAACTGCTCCCATTGCTAAATAAGTATTACTTGTTTTTATCGTCGATAAAAAAAAAGAGAATAATGTATGGTAGTCACTTTTTATATGTTGCTCTTATTTTGATTTATGGGTAACAATTTTAAGATGAATGATATAGTTTTAGCAGCAGAGATAAAATTCATTTCAAATCTTATCTATTTATTTAAATAAGTGACGTACGTTTCGCAATATTGAGTTGCATCATCAGAGTGTGAGTGTGGATTGATGGATGTGGCTGTGGGGTGGATGCGGGGTGTCGATGTGGATGTCGCTGAAAAATCGAACTACACCCACACCCACACCCCATACAAGAGTTGCCATCTCTTCCGCTTTTTCACTCTTTTCCGCTATTTTTCCGGTGTTTCGTATTTTTTCGCTTTTTGATGTAAAAAAGGTGATGCATTTTCAAAATACGTATAGAGCAAAACTTATTATTGTGGAATAAATTCTTACTGTTTATTCATCCAGTTAATCTTCATTCTTATTATGTCATCCATAAAATCAATGGACGGAGGGTGGGTGTGAGTGTGGGTGCTGTTATGGATGAGTGTGAGTATTCATAGAAACACGACTAACAATCACCCACACCCACATCCACACCCACAGCCACCCCATTACATAAACGAATAGTTCGATAAAAAGATGATAAGCAAGTAATGATGACTCACCGAGAAGAGAACGTGGGTGTTACTGTATGATTCATCAAGGTAGTATGACGAGATACCTGAAGCGAATGATGCAAGTACAGTATGATTACCTTTCATGTATATAAACGAGAGGTGTCTTTATTTTGCAACAGTATACAAAAATGATATGATCATCGAATGAAAAGAACATCACTCAAAAAAGTATTTTAATGAGTCGATTTAGGAACAAGACTTTTTTTCTTTTTCGGTATTAGTAGTGTAAGAAGGAAGTGACTCTTTTTTCGTAAATGTCGTCAACTAGCACAGTCGATGATTGCTCAATTTGTTTGAATGGTTTAGTATCAGGTGCAACTCTTTTAACATTGTCGTGCAATCACAAGTTTCATTTTGACTGTTTGTTATCGCATGTTAAAGCACAAAACCATGAGTGTCCTCTGTGTCGAGCAACCATCGATATATCACTCATTAAACTATTAAAAGGTCCTAATAAGATGCCTTCACCACATCAAGCGCCAAGACCTGCTATTGTAAGTCAAATCTTGTGTATAAAGAGTCTCTTATTAAAAAGAACTGATCTAGCCAAGAGATGAGATGAACGATCTAACAAAAACTGTAAACTTTTCTTTTAGGTTGTTCCTTCGGTAGAAGATCTAGTCGATGAAGAGGCTGTACGAACACTTTCTACGCGTCTGACGTCGGCTCAACAAGCTACCGCTTCATCAAGTTCTACAGACACATTATCAAGTATTACGGCTACAACAACATTAGAATTTGCCGGTCAGCCATCAGATCAAGAAGCTAATATCTATGGATTAGTCACTGTGAAAGCACCTTCGATCATTTTACCATCGGAGAGTGAAGCCACTTCATCATCATTCTCTCGTGTGCCTATTGATCTCGTTTGTGTTGTTGATCAAAGTGGATCAATGACAGGCGAAAAAATCACTTTATTGAAACAAACTTTAATCTACATTGTCGATCAGCTCAACGAACTCGATCGATTGGCTATTGTTTCATTTAATACAACAGCTTTCAATTATTCTCACGGTCTCAAACATCTCAATCAACAAAAGTAAGTTCATCGATTCGACATTTGATGATTTTTTTAATTTAAAGAGTAGGTAACTATCAACTTTAGAAGACAAGGTCGAACTTTCTAAGAAAAAGAATTGTCTGTCAATCTATATAGTTTAAAAGTTATATAAAGTAACATGTAATTGTTTTTATTTAGTAAGGAGATGTTGAAAAAGTCGATCACTGAAAATGTCAAGGCTAGTGGTGGTACCTTTATTGGATGTGGATTAAGCATGGGTATCGAACTGTTCACTAATCGTCAAACAAAGAATCCAGTTGGTGGTTTACTTTTACTTACCGATGGGCAGGACAATCAAGTTCAGGATTATTCGAATTTAATGAAGACATTACCTGAAGGTGTTCTTTGTCACACATTTGGTTATGGGCCTGATCATACAGCGGCTTTACTTGTACAACTGGCGGAACAAGGCAACGGAGGCACTTTTACTTATATAGTGAGTTGAACACAATTTCTTTCATATTTAAATGATAAAGTATTGAATAGAATGAAGAAGAAGCCGTAGGTCCAGCATTTGCGATGACGCTTGGTAGTCTTTTTTCGTGTATAGCTCAACAAATTTGTATCAACATCGAATTCAACGGTGAATACAAAGTAACTAATATTCATTCGAAATATAAATACGAACCAGAAAAACTTCCTTCATCGATGATCAGTTTTAAACTAAATGATCTCAATAGTGAAGAGCGACGAAATCTCATTTTTCAATTATATGTGCCGAAAATGCATGATCAACAATCGATAGAAATGGTCTCACAAGAATCTATATCTTCAAGTCAACAACAAAAAGAACATCAGTTTATCATTAATCATCAAGTTGGTGAGCAATTTATTTTAAACTCATAGATATCTTCTTCAGTCTAAATCTGAAAATGATTTAAGGTCATGTGTCGATCACCTATTTGGATCCTCGCAGTGGTCTTACATTAACCACAAATTCTGTTCCCTTTGAACTTATTCGAGTTCCTCAACCATCGGCCGAACTGCTTCAAGTCAATCACACACTTGATCTTCAACGAAATCGAGTAGAAACAGCACTTGTCTTAAAACAAGCAATGGAAGAAAATAACTATGAACAATCGATGAATTTGCTCAAAGATCAAATTGAAAAATTAAAGAAAAGTGTATCTGCAAAAGATCCATTTTGTCAACAATTAATCAAAGATCTTAAACATCGTTTTCAATCGGAACGTGACTATCGTTCAACACATCACAATACTTATATGCAACATTTAACAGAACGAGGCACATGGAGTTCTACGGCTAATGCCAGTACAATACATTATACTACCATATCGCAAAATTCTCAAGTCGATCACTTTCGAAATTCACGACCTCTTAACTTACAAGAAAAGGTTAGTGAAAAGGAATAAAAGTATCTCATGAATTAGGACGGTGATATAAACGGCAGGAGAAAAGCTGACTCACTTGACCATGACGGTGGTGGAACTTGCGAAATTTTGAGTTTTTCGACAACTTAGTTATGTTTTCTAGAGTATAGATTTTACTAGGCCATACGATTAGGAGAGAAACTCCGCGTTGAATTTTCTCCTTGAAAACTGTTGTTTGAAGATTTTTTTAAAACAAATGCATGGAAAATTTGAGCAAGAGAAACCTTGATTTTAAGGTTTGAGGGTGATAACATTATTATTTATTTACACTCTCAAGATTTTGTTGTTCTTCATTTAGGATGGCAATTCGTTGGATTTAATTTTGTGTAAAGTGATGCGTATCCCTGAATATATTCTCGGAAAAATTACAGTAGCTGTAAGTTGATTATATATCGAAAATTATTAATTATTGATCATTCTTGTGCGTTTTTATCAGGTCCTTCATGGTCTGAGCTCTTTGAACAAGGAATATCGAGGTATTCATTCACTTGTTTTCTTTCGATTAATTTGAATTTATTTTCATTTGTAATATCATTTAGAAATTAAACCATCGAATATTCTGATTAATCATCTAGGTAATACGTCGTACATGGTTTTCTTTTTCATGATTGATTCTCTTTTCTAGGTGAAATCAAACTGCGCGATTTTGATGTAAGTGGACAATTCATGGATTCACATATCGGTAACTGTTGTTACATGTCGGTTAGTATTTTTTATTCTATTGTTTTTGTATTAATCGATTGATCTATAGCCTGAACGGCTCGAAGGTACACCTGCAGGAATAATGAATGATATTTGGGCACTTGGTTTGTCACTTGTCGAAATGGCTGTTGGTCGATATCCAATTCCACCACCAACATCAGATGATATTGATATATTATTCAAAGAAGATCCGCATGGAAATCTGCCGCGAATCGAAGGTTAATTAATTGACTGTTTGTGTTATTGTTGTGAAGAGGGTTTTGTTATTTCAGGACATGGATCTCATAAAAATTTGAGTGCATTCGAATCGATGGAATGGATTGTTAATGAAGCATCACCCAGTCTCCCACAAACACATTTTTCTCCGGAATTTTGCGATTTTATTGATCATTGGTTCGTATATTCTGTTGGATGTATTTTAATGATTTTATTGTTTTTTCGTTGATTTTAGCTTGAAAAAGAATACAACAGAACGAGCTGATTTAAATACGCTCTTAGTGAGTGTTTTGTCTTTTTCTTGCACAATATCTCTTCTTGTTATTTCAGCATCATCCATTTTATAAACAACATGAACAAGAGAGTCAAAATCAAGAAGTCGTTGCTTGGATAGAGCAAATATGTCAACCTGATTTCGACAATAGACGACGCAGTGATGGTGGTAGTAGTAGCACATAAGTTAAACTGAAGAGCGAGTCAGATGTGTGATCTTTCGTTCATTTTCTATGTTTCTCGAATGAGAAAACAAACAAAAATATAAACGTCAGGTGTGGGTGAGGGTGTGAGTATATTAGTTCTCAGATCCACATCCCACACCTGTATCTTCACTTACATCTTACTTTCAAAATGGTTGAAGCGATTACATTTATACAGATTGTTGTCATGACAACATAGTCTATTCAAACAAGAATAAATTTTTAATTACGCTCAAAATTATAAAAGCCCATACAGAACAGGAACGCAGTCTCAAGGTTATCGCTTTCCAAACACATTAGAAGCCCATCTATCCAAAATGAGTACATAAGAGATACTTTTAGAAATTGTTAAGTGAACTCATTGGAGCGGGTGTGGGTGTGCGTGGGTCGTGTGGGTATGAGTATGAGTGGGTGTGGGTGTGAGTGTGTGGGTGTGTGGGTATGGGTGTTGTTCTTTCTTTTTTTCACACCCGCACACACCCACAGCCACACCCCACACTCCACACCCACACTTAACAAGAACTTGATGTGATTATTTTTTCTACCAAAAAAAATATATTATATATTTTGAATCAACATAAAATTCTGTATTTGATGATATATGGATATATCCATAGGGTTTTGTTAGCCAATGCCACGACTATCTCTGAATCAATCCCTTAAAACTTTTAGTGTTTGTAGAGATTTGTGCGATAATCATTTTGGTATTAAATTGTTGAATATTTGACTCTATTTTCGCCAAAATATAAGTGAAATACTATAAACATAGAGGTTTGTTTTTGTTTTACGATTATTTCGTATAAAAAATGCGTTTATCTCTCAAAATGAAAGTGATAATGCCTGACTATTAGGGTTAGCTCTGAAATCTAATAATGTATTCGGACTGAACATGAAAAACTACAACAGAGTCTATGCGAAATGTATGCGCTCTCGAACATTCATGTAATATAATTTTGATCAAATGAGATATATATGCAAAGTAGGATCCATGAAAAATATTTATAATGGATTAAAAAAAGTCAAATAATCTAAAATAAGGATATGAACGATTCGATAGGACAACATTAGCTCTACAATATGGACTGATTACTTAGTTTTCTTCTTAACTCTCATTTCATAAAAAATAATAGTTGCAAATTTTTATAAGTAATATTATTTGACTTTTTAATCAATGCTTAATGTTTTTCCATACACCCTACTTTGCATATATGTTTCCAATGATCAAAATTATATTATATGAATGTTGGGCAGTCCATACAATTCGCATAGACTTTCATGTAGTTTTTTATGTTCAGTCCGAATAAGTTATTAAGTTGCAGATCTAAGCAAATAGTCACGTGTTATCATTATCATTTTGAGAGATAAATGCATTTTTCATACGAAATAATCGTAAAAGAAAAAAGAAACTCTATGTTTTAGTATTTCACTTATATCTTGGGAAAAATAGAGTCAAATATTCAACAATCCAATACCAAAATGATCAGCGCACAAACTTTTACAAATTCTGGAAGCTTCAATGAACTCAGATGTAGCTTTCGAAGTACATGACCAGATTTGACGAATATACTGAAGAAAACTGACTAAAAGGTTGTAATCGAAAATGATTTTGGCACTAGTGCCCTACAGTATTTGAAATACTATTCGTTTCAATTCAATTACATTGTGAGTTAGTAGACCCTATAAAAATTTTTAAATTCATTAGGAATTTGGTACACTTTTGCACAAAAAATCTCACTTTGTTATTGGTTTTATGATACGAACCAATAAACAAACACTATCATCGATGTTTTGAGAAAAATGTGACTTATTTATTGGAACAAGATAGAAACGTATATATAGTATTTGGTTCATATCTTTTTGAAAATAGAGTCTGAATGCAAAACATGTGTTACCAAAATGATCGTCGGAAAAAGCTCTACAAGTACTAAAAGTTTCAAAGGATTCAGAGATAGCTGCAAGATCGGTTTGGTGAGACCCAATTACGATTCAAAAGATTCTCGAGAAAGCTATTTTTGATTGTTTGTAGGCCCTGCAAAGAGTTGAAGATGAAAGCGAGGTTCGAAACAAAAAGTATCTTATACACTTAAAATTTGATGATGATTCTGAACATGTCATTCTTTCAAAAAAGATAATCGATTTCACTTACTTTCAGTTTTTTTTTCTTATTTCCAATAGCTTAAACAATACAGTCTTCTTGACAGAAATACAATTGTCAAGAAAGAAAATTGTTTAAGTTTACTTTCGTTTGTTTGTTTATGAAAACGAAATTTCAAAATAAGAAACTTTTTCTTTTCGAAAGTAAACTTATTGTGTAAATAAAACTCTTGAATTAATCTTTCTTCCTTTTTTTCCAATTGAAATTTTTAGTAATGCATTCACATAAACGTTATATAGTTATTTTATTTGCCAACTTAATTTTCAAGTAGTGACGCTAGATTAATAGAATTCAAGGAGAAATAAAGTGATATACGACTTT